TTTTTTTTTTTTTTTTTTTTTTTTTTTAAATTAACAATTAATCAGTGAGATATACTTGTACAATGGGTTATAGTCCACTTTGTAGTGAAATTAACAGTTACAGTTCTTGAATCGTGTTTTTCACTCATTGTTTGCTGGCCTATCTAGGATGGAGAAAATATTTCAGTTTTTCAGGGATGCAAGGTGGCATTAATGCAAATAATTCTATGCGCAGCAAGCACACAGCGGAAGACTGCTTAGCTCGAGTCCCGTACGCGTCTGTTATGGCATTCTTCATGTCTGTTGTTGGTGTTCTTCTTTTTTCTGTTATGATGGCAAGAGCTTTTAATGCATCTATTGAACAGACAAAACGGCTTTTCAACAATGATGAACTTCCATTCTTATCTAAGGTCATTTTTTTTATTGAAAACTTTTATGGGATCTGTTACTTTTACCTCGTTAACAATCGCGTTGTTGGTTTGGAATCTCCACTAATTCATTTTGAAGCTGTTCTTGATATTTTGGACGTTTAAGGGACTTTAATATAATGTATAATTGCTTGTTGTTTGCAGATCCATATATTTTTTTTGGTAGTGGCTGTTACCATGGGGCTTATTGCTATCATTTCATTAACTATAGGAGCAATGAGTACTGGCGCAACAAGAGGAGAGTTCTTTAGGTAATTCGATTATCTATTTTTTCATTTTTGTTGACTGTAGTGCGGAACATATAGTTCTTACTTCCCTCTTTTATTTTAAATTGTCACTATCGCTAAGCGTTAAAAACTTTTGTTAGATGATTTATTGCAGAGGTGTAAAAGGCCAGTTTGGAGGACGCTGCGCTAATATATTAGCTATGATATTGAATTATGCATCGCTCCTTTGCTGGATATTTGCATTAGCCTGTACTGCTAGTTTGTGCTTTGTATATCGTGTATTTGATCGTCTCTGTTATCCTATCATTCGCTTCTCAGACTCAACTTGTTTTGATTTTACTGTATTCCAACCATTAGTAGAACCGTTTTCTTCAAAAGTTGGTTTATTAATTTTTTTTTTCTGAAAGCCACTTTATTGACACGACTAATTTTAGCTTACAACTATTTTTAGTCTTTAAAACTGTGTGGTGGGGATCTCCAGCAGTTTTGTGCCTTGTCATCTACTGCCTATCTGTGGTATATCGTCGGGTTTATTGGTTCCTTTTTAACTGTGCTTGGTCTCGTGCACTTCTTGATTTGTACAGCAGCTAATTATACCCATGTTTCACTTGGCAAAAAAGCAGAGGAGTTAAAGACGGTATGGTTTTTTTATTCTGCCGCACGTCAGATTCTACTTTGGTATAAACTGGTTATGGTTATTGGAGTGAAGAAAAATGAGTTTTTTCTCTTAGTTTTTTTATTCTTTGGTTTCGGTGAAGTTTACAGTATAAGAAATGTTTGTTAATTTACTCGGCTATTCAAAACGATTGGAATTACATAAATTTTTGTTTTAAAGCTGGTCATGTCAAACGATATGGAAGCTCTCAATTATGCATCCAAGAAAAACTATTATGGCGATTCTGGTCGCAGAGGTGGCAGTTTTCAGCAGCTGAATAATAATTATTATGCCAGTTGACCTAGCTTTCTGTTCTTTGTTCTTTTGTTGTAAGTAGTTTACTTCACATTCCACTACCTGTTCAGACCATTCCTGGAGGCCTTTTTCTGTGTCTTGTTTTTCAATTTCTCAATCGCTTTGTTTATTGTAAAAATTTTATTTGTTGTTTGAAGTATTCGTTATCAAGGCTTTCAAAAAAATTTTCTTTATCTGATAATCAAAGCAGTGTTTGCAATGTTATTTGTGTGAACCCATTTTTTATAAAGTGTCGGCAATATTCACAAAATTATGTAAGTGATGAATTGCAGTTATGCGTTCTTCTGGTCGAATTCAACTTTAGTTGCCTTTGTTTCAATGGTTTCAGTCATCTTGACTTTACTTTGCTATTTTACCGAGTTCATGTAAATTTGTACTTTTGACGCTTGTAAGATGTTGTCCTAATAGATACTACTTAAGGATGATTACGGTTAATTTTTGTTTTTGTCTTTCTACTTTTGTTTTCACTTAAGAACTTTAGCTTTTTTGATACAATTATACTGATGCTTTTAAAGTAACTCCGGTTATCCTAATATCAAGTAAGGTTGCTTCGTTTATTGTTGTTTTTGTCGTGAAGTCGGTGCGTATAAAAAAGTTATTTAAATGGCCCTCTTTCTAATTGCTTTTCATTAGAAAGCTAATTATATTTCCTTTAAAATAAGTGGCTTTCTTCAGTTCAGAGGTCAAAGGTATATTGGGCGTGTTTACATTAACTTTTTTTTCTTTGTTTCACTCATTAGGTTGATACATTTGGGCAGGTCCTATCCGCTTATCTCATTTCGTTATGTTTTTGATAACATTATCTTATCAGGCGTGCCCTTTATTTTTTAAGTCTTCTTGAAATCGCTTTCCAAAATTTTCTTTTAATAGTTCATCTATTAGTTTTCAAACGTCAATGTTTTGCGAAAACCGTTCAAGAGTATTGCTTGATGCAGAAATCTCTGCAATTGCAGCGAATATTCAAAGATGTTTAACTGCTGCGGGTACTAAGGTTGCTCTTAGTCTTATTTTTTATTTTCTAGTATTATGGGTACAAACGCTTTATGCTTTAGTCGAAGACTTACCAAGATTATTATTTTTCACTATTGGAACTAATTTAAAGGTTGTGAAGGGAACTTTTTTATTTTAAAATTTATGTAACGTTTCTGGGCTCACTATGATTTACATTTTCGTTTGCACTCAAGAATACAACATTTTTTTATGACTTCCAAAAATCCGGTACGACCGTTAACAGAATTGTTGTTAAATTGAGCTGTTTCATTCCGACAGGCCACCCTGCAGGAATAATTCCATTTTTTCAGATTGGAGTCAATAAAAGCATCGTGAGAGCAACCAGCGAATGTATTGCTATTTATAAGGAGTTGGAAGTGTTAATTGAATTTGTTAAAGGCGCTGTAGATGTCAGTGAAATTGATTTGGAAGAAATAAACGAGGATTTAGAAAAGTTTCTAAATTCCGAACGAGTGATCAATTTAACACGCTACATCTCGCAGGTATAAATTTTTTATTTTGTGTTGCCAAATCCCCAATCTTTCTTAGTTAAGCTGAGAGCCATAGGAAGTTCTCGGCATTGAAGTTCTAATTTTTGCAAAAAATCCCTTTTAGAAAGAGGAAGAACTAAGAGAACTGGAAACTCATTTAAAGCTAACTGAGGAGTTCAGACATCAAATGGCCGAGCAAGGTGGAGTCCCTTCTACTTACACACATTTTTGTCCAGCATTCTTAATCCTTCATTTCGCCACCAGCTTATCTTCTATATTTGTCTTGATATACATCTATACATCATGCCACTGACAGTTTAAATTAGCTCTTAATGTTAAAAATCTAATTACCTTCCGGTTGGATTGATAGGAAACCCAGAGTTCTTGGAAAGCACATCTAGCGAGGAGGATGAAGGACCCGAAGAGATCTCGTCAAAACCCAAGGGTTTAGAGAAACCTGATGAACATGAAATTCTTGATGAAGTATGTAGAGTAATTTTTATCCTATTGGATTCACATCATGAGACTCAACAGTTTCGTGTTTTAGGTAGAAGTTAAGCGAAGAACGAAAGTAAGGAAAAAGTCCAGAAAGAAAAAACTTGTCAAAGTAGATAGAGGCGAGTACTCCGTTGACGTTGCGTAAGTCTGTGACCCAATTGACACTTATTCTTACAAAAACATCAATTCTCTTCACCGAGTTACAGAACTTTAGGGATGAGCCTCACCATAGCACCCTCTAGATTTAAAACTACCGTACTGTTAACTTTAGATGTACAATATCGGCTGCGAACAGTCATATCTCTTTAATCTAATTCGTTTAGAAACAACATATTTAAAATTGTAAACTTAAATCGAACAATGCCAAGAAAGAGCACTAACTTCCGGGAAAACCTGTTAATGAAGCGCACAACAGACGGCCGAAGGAAAAGTAAGTCAGTTGGAAATACATGAACCCCATTTGCAACAAAGCTACATCACCGCGCAGCAACAGTTATTCTTCCCAACAACACTTCCTACCACAGTTCCACCTTTCAAATTACACGCCGTAGCTGGAAAAGCAGAAATTAACTCCCAAATCTTCTAGTCAAACATGCTGCTCTTATTCCTTCATCAAACTTTTTTAGAAGGAGAAACTGGCAGGATCGGACATCGCGAGAGATGGTCAAACAGATGAACCTCACAAGAGACTCCCCGTTTTGCGATGTTGTTTGTTATAAAACTTTGAACATTTAAAATCCCATTTTGACAGCAAGAACTGAATCGTTAGTCGCCGCACAGACCAAACGCAGCCGTTAAATACACATTCAATAACAACTTTTACTCCAAAAAGTGACTTAGTCATGTCGCTCCACAGGGCTTCAAGCTCACGCCACGGGCACAAAAGAAACAAACAAGCCTGATCACTCCAAACTTCACTCACCGTCCTTATACAGAAAAAGGAATAATTTAGAGTCGAGAGACACACATAAAGTTATGGTTACATTTTGCACATTCTTGTGACAGGACAGAACACGCACATCAATAGTAAGCTCCAGCTTTCAACTAGCCAAACAAACTACAAGCAAATCTAACAGGACATATTAACACGTAATGAGATTTTCTATTAATGAAATAAATGCCCTACGGGCGCGCCTTCAAGGTAGTTGTCCACTGAACAAACAAACCAAAAGCTGGAAAAGACACGACAGAATAGTGATGAAAGATTCAAACCAAATCACAAAGTTGGGATTACAAATTCGTTCCATTCAACGCCGATCGCGGCTTCGTCTCCTGAAAAACCAAGTAGTAACCAACTTTGAAGATTGAAAAGGGATTTAAAATTCTCATAGGTTCAATGTAAGAGGAACGCTAATATCAATTCTGAAGGCGTCAGTCGTAAAAGTCAACGGAAAGCGCCGCAACCAACCTTTCCCTTTCATAAGAACGCCTTGAATCTCTATCACGGTAATTTCGCGATGATCTCGGGGAGCGAGACCGGGAGTGCCGTCGCCGCGGGGAACGGCTGAAACGTGATGTTAATATTCAATAACAACTTTCACTTCAGAAGATGACTCTTACACTCTGCAATTGATATATAGTAACAAACATGCCTGCTGCGCTTATAATCCCTTTCTCTTTCACGACTGTCTCGCCGCCGTTCCCTCCTGTCTCGACTAATATAACTGAACAGAAAAAAAGCATTAATTTCATAGGCCTTCTAAGTTCTCGCAAAAGAAAAAAAATCAAATAGATGGAACTCGAGAACAAAAGTGAAAAGTTTAGAGCTTTCATAATTTACTGCAGACACTAACTCTCTATCGTCATCACGGTATGTGAGACCTAGTCTCGCCTTCTTCCATTCTGCTCGTCGCTCGTCAATCGTTTTCTTAAAATGGCAACACTGTTAACGTAAAGATTTGATCACCTCAATTTAAAACAATTTGAAACAGACATCCACAAGACCCTTACTTTCATTTCTTCACAAGTCTCTCGAATTCTTTCCATGCCAAGATGCATCTTCCCACCGTAATGATCTGCAAGACGGGTTTCATGTTCCATTATACTCAGTTGAGCACTGCAAGTTTCACAGACACGCAAACGCACTTGAGGTGTATTCAGAACAGTTCGTACATCATTCTAGAATTAAAGCGTCCATCACAAAAAAGCTAAAATCACACTCCCACTTCGTGCATCACCACAAAGGCCTTTTACACATCATTAAGCGAAATTAAACGGTACCTCGAGATCACGTTTTTTCCTTTTCAGCTCCTCGATTGTTTTTGAAAGTTCCATTGCTTCTTCCACTTTACCCTCATTTCCTAACGCTTCCATTTTAACAATTGTGGTACCTATCTTCTCCCCCAATTCGCCAATCTTCTGAGCCTAAAAGACCAACTGATGTCTCGAAAGAAAAGTATATGTGAAGCCCGTATAGAGAGGAAATGGGACCGTTTTAATTATTGTAACTCTTTCAAAAAACGATAACACC